TCCAGCTTTTCATCCACCAGTACCCCCATCATAAGCAGCCTCATCCATTTTCCTGAGGAAAGGGCCATCTTACTTGTTGAGATTTGCCTTCTTCCAGCTTCTTAGACTGTGGTATGTGTTTGATATGTACCCAACCATTGCTTTTAAAGATTTTTTTTTTTTTTTTTTTAATATTTAGAATAGAGCAAAAATAGTTATCCTTAGCTAAATAATTAGAGCTTTGTCATCAGATGCTGAATTTTCATGCAAGTGTTCCTTCACATGAAGTAGACCAGATGTCATGAAGTGCAAAATGAACATTAACTGATTCTGACTTTAGTAGTGTATATTTAACACAGAGAGGTAATTAATTGAGTTATTTTCTTTCTTGTAACTCAGATATAACCGGGGAAAAAAATGCACTTTTAGTGTATTTAGCATTTTTATATTGCTGGCATTACAGTCTACCTCCTCTCACCACCTGAGTGTATTATTAAGCTTTCAGAAGTGATTCCTAGTACCCATGTGTGGTAGTGAATACTGATTTATAACCTTTGGGATCAGCTGGTTTCTTCCTTTTAATAAATGTGAGGTCCATTCATGTGTTCCTTATTTTCATGGTATAAAAATGCTGGAAAAGATTCACACTTAGGCAAAAAGTAATCTAGGTCAAAGACAAGTGAACAGCAGGAAAGTCCAAGTATTTAGCATAAAAATGTGAGAAGAACATGGGTGGCTGGCGAATTATACTTTGGAAACAATTTCACCAAATAAAACTACTCTGAGTTAATCTACTTTAAGCAGACTATGCACCCAAGAGTGCTGATAGTTTACAAATGCACACCTGGTTCTGGAATAGTTTGTGTTCTAAATATACTATTCCTGAGAATATAATTATATTCTGTGACCAAATTTGTCACAGAATTTGTAACTGCGTATGTTTCAGATATTTTCTTGTAGTTAAATTTCAGCTTTTCTTAGCTTTCTGGACTACTCCCCCGTGAGTGCTCAAGAGATTCTTAAAAGGATTGGGGATTCCTAAGCTGTCAAATACTGTGTTTTTATGAAGCAAAATATCTCAAGCTGAAAAAAAGGAGATCAAAATGCAACATTACTATACTAGCCCATGGGAATTGAAGCAATAGCGTAACCTTCAGTGACTAGGGCCAGAGCCATATCCGGTGTTAACTTGGGGCAGGTGCAGTATTGGATTAAAGCCCTCTAATTTTGTTACTAAGAAAGTTCAATTACTGTTATGGCAGTTATCCCAAGGCTTTTTTTTCCCCCTCTTCTCTCAGCTTACACTGCGTGATAATAAGAAGTTGATCCCTGTCACAATAATCAAACAAGGTAAATTTGTATTTTTTTTTAATTGATTCTTATGCTCTGCAAGAGTAACTTAAAATTAAAATGAAAAAAATATTCTGACTGATGTGAATGTCATGAAAGTTTCCTTTTAGAATAGGTGGAACCTTACAAACTACCATATCCTTTAATTATAAATACTATTAAGCTATATGTCTTAATAAAATGAGCTATTACATCGCGTTATAAACAATGACTTAGCTGAGTCATTGAATGGATACCAATCAGTTCTGATTGCTGCTAGTATCCATTCTTTTTCTCTTTCAACTGGCTTGTCCAGGTATGTTGATCTCCGGCTGTGCATAACTTGATAGTCAGGCATGAAGGGTAGCAGTATGGATAAGATTCATGCTACCAAACATTTTGGTGGATATCTTCAGCTAAGTCATTGACTTAGACTCCTTTCTTCTCCTTGCCTTGGTCAGTGGAGTGAGATATCTACAGTAGACTTAAACATAATGCCCTTTAGAAATACCTGTTTCTCTCTAGTAGTGAGAGGTAGTATAATAGTGTAATCTTTGGAAATTAACTACTTAAAGATAGCTGATAGAAAATGAGCTGCAGATTAAAACTTGCTAACAGAAATTGTATTGTGAATAATTTTAAATGACAAAATCAAGCAAACTCTCTTTGGAGGTAGTTCACGGTTCAGGGACAGGAAAACACTGGAGGGTGGTGGAAAGCAAATTATGGTAATTACCATTAAAATATGACTGTACTGGCATTTACTTCACATGCATCTTTTTTTAAGACTTGTGATTGGCAGGGTAAAGAGATGGCCTGAAGCTGGCCCTATATTAACATAAGCATGGAATGTCATTTTTCACCAAGCATATAAAACTGATATGCTAGGGGAAAGAAGAGATGCACAGTTAAGAGATGATGTAGAGGAAACACAGTTTGCAATCTCTTAAACTGAATGCAAATACAGAAAAGATTAGGATGGTGTCCTCATCTCCACTTATTAAGTTGAGGGAAGGTTTTCGGAATACTTAGACTTGTCTCAGGTGTGGTTTTGTTTCTTGTTTTTTGTTTGTTTTTTTTTTAATGATTTTCTAATACCCGTGTGTTGTCTCCACAGTTATTCAAAATCGGACGCAGTCAAAAACTTCGGATAGTTCTTCTCTGCCAGGAGCAATATTAGGTGACTAGAAGATATTTTTATTATTTTTCCTCATCTTTGGCTGAAAATTAGAACTATGTAAATACTTTTAATTTTCTTGATCTTGATAGTTCTTTCCTTGCATATCAAAGGGTATTTTGCAACTGGTTCAGACAGTATTTGTTATATTTTATGGTGGTACAGATGGTTCAAGGATGATGTAGCCTAAGGGAAATAGAATCATTTTATTATCATAGTATTTAAAACAAGATACTGTCACTGTTTAAGCCAAGAAAGTGGCTTTACTTCAAGTAAAGTTCTGTGGCAAAGATCTTATTAAGATCAGGGGTTGTTCTTTTTGGTTTTTTTATGGTAGTATGATAACATATGATCTACAGACACAAATCTCTACTGATATATTAGGCTATAGTGATGTATATTATAACCTTCCATGCAATTAGAGCTTGATGTTAGATTTTGGGCCATAACCGTTTCCCTCAAGCCATTCAGTTTCATGCTTTCTGTTCTCGTTTGACCTATAAGAACACACAGTACTGGTTTAGTACATGAAAATAGGGAAAAGTCTATCATATAGTGCTTAGTGTGGTGAACTACTGATCTGCCTGAAATAGATAGGAAAGGCTCACTGCATCATGCACCTTGTGACCAATTTATTCCTGGATTCAGGAAGGTGTTTAGTCCTTTATATATATGGAAATACTTTATATAACTATATAGCTTTGGCTTAAGTTTGCTTTGTGTGAGTTTTAATGTGTTGATGTGAATCAAATAGATACTTATCAACCTCGTTTGGTGTTGAGTCTTCTTGGCCCACCAGACAGAATGTCCCAGCATCTGTGATACTGCAGTACTCCAGGGTTGTATGCTCCAGTATTGAATTGTTTTCAATTCTGATTAATTGGTGATGAAACCATGGTAATACAGTGAGTGGTGTAAAGGGGAAATAGCACCAAATGGGAGTGATAATTACTGAATAGAACTAACTCGTTTCCCAGATACTCAGACTAAACTCCCAAAGGTTCAGTAGTAGTTTCTTACATATCTCAGAGGGCAGACTGCGTATTTTTCATCTCTGCTGGAATTAATGGCATACATCTTTGTGTGTAGTGCACCTTATTGTCCCAGGTCTCAATGAAACTCAGCAGAAACTTCCTCCTCTCCTGACAATAGATGACATACCTCAAGCATCCAGGAAAAAACTGGGTAAGCAGAATGAACTAAGCTTGTATTGTTCATGAGCAGTATCAGAAGTGTAGCGATGTGAGATCATGTATGCAAGCAGAAAAGTCCTTTTGTTTTTCCTCTCTTACCTTCTTTTTTTCTGTTTGTTTAATTAATGATTAGCTTGGACTTATTAAGGATTCATAGAAATTCATTTATTTTAAAACATCTGAACAGGTTTTTAAGGTATTTTGCAGCCACTTAAAAGAATATGCAGTAGCTTTGATCCATAGAGGAAAGAAAGGAAACCAGTCATGTTAATAATCTTTAGGGGTTTGGTTTTGTTTTACAATGTAACTTTTTTTTTTCATAGGTTATATCTTTCAATATATGTCTTTAAAAATTGAAATTTTTGTGTCCATTTGAAAGACCAGATTTTCAGTGAATTTTAATTATATGAGTTGAGTATATGTGAGAAGTTGAGTATATGTGAGAAATTGTTTCACAAAAAGATTCTTATTTATTACCTGTAACTAAATCCATGAAAAAATGTAGCCAGAAATTAGAACATTTTAGTACAGGTTTCATGTGTATCTTGTGAATGTGCCTGAAACCTGTAGGAAAAAGATTAATTGCGGCTTTTGTTAAAGATATGTAAACTAGCAGGACTTGTTCCTGTTAAGATACTGTGTATGTGTAAGGGTAGAGCGACACAGTAGAATAATACTTGAATGTGTTTGAGTAAGAATATGTTTGAACTGAGGCTGAGTTCCTTAAAAATTAGTATCTGGAAGTATTTACCAGCATTTTACAGACAAATATTGTTAGCGTCATCTGTGGCTACTGAAAGTTTAAGCTAAGTGGAAAAACTTAATTACGGTATTTACATTACAGAGCATTACTGTTTTCAATCATGATGATAAAATTAATCACATCGTTAACTTGATTACTAACATTGTCTTTGAACAGCAAGCATAGAAAACAAGGTGTTTATCATCACTAGCTTGGTTTTAACATGTATATGATGTGCAGGTAACAAAGATACCATTAAAACTCAGTAGACCATATTTTGACAAATCGGTTTTTCATACCCCTTTTAGTAAACCATATTTTAAGACCTCCAATATTAGTTTTGGACTACAATATCTAGAACTTTTATATTTGTTTTTATTTTCTACCAGTAAAATTATATCTTTCTGCAGGAAAAAAAATGTTGTGTTTTCAGATAGGTCATAAGGTTCAGTAGTGTGCACGGTAAAAATGGCAGAATGTGACTATGAGCAAAAGATGAGGAAAAAGATAAAGGTAGCTTCAGTTGTCCTAGAGATGTCCAACTTCCTCAGTTGGCTGAGCATAGAACTTGGACTTCTAAATTTAAATGCTCTGATATGTCTAAAATAGATAGTTGATGTGATGCCAGTTTGGAGCCACTCTTTATGGTAGATTATACAAACACCTTTGTGAAAATAACCAGTGCAGGCAAGTGATGTTTTGTTCTGTTTACTACGTGTTCCTTACCAGAGAAGTACATGGGTGTACGCACAAGGGACTACTGGATTTCAAAGGAGTGTAAAACAGGGAAGAGTCATTGCCTGGGAAGCAAAAATACTCTGAGAAGTAATTTAAATGTATAAAATAATCGACAGAAAGCCATATTGTCCAAATCTATATAGATATCCTTCACTGATGCCTGGGAATGATGTATGACTATAATAAAATGCAATAAGGCTTGCGCTGTGTGTGAAGTTATGACTAATTATGATTTGCTGACATACTGCAACTATTCTAATTCTGTATTATTTAGAAAAGTCAAAATAATGCATCACAGAATATCATATTTATTGAATTCTCAAAATATTTTTTTTTCTGTTTATTTACTTAGTCAAAAACTTAATAGTTTTTTTAAAAAGAGTAGTAGTCCAGGAAAAAAAGACAAAATATATTGCCTTAGTCCTCAGTGGAAAAAAACCAACAGGTATATTACTAAAGTCAAAATTAATTAATTTTCCCTATATCCACTGCTGGAATATTTTTATATCTGTTGGAATAGAAGGCTATTGTCATACCACTGTAATTTTTAGAAGTAATGTAAAGGAAAATAAGGACATGACTAGTGTGACAATTCCATTGTATTTGAAAATTTATTAGACTGTTCTTGTATAATGCTTAGAACTATATTACATCTTTGAATTTTGAAAAGCATTTTTGCTGTTAATGCTCAAATGCTAGACAAATGAAAACCACTGAAAACTATTTGGCACAGTGAAAGTAATTATTTGTAAATTTTATTTTTAAATTTTAAATTTTAAAATTTTATTTTTAAATTTGCTGTAAATTTTGTTTTTAAAGGATCTCTTAATGAACAAAACAATACCAAAAATGCATGTGTTTAACATAGCTAGATAGATGCTTGTACTGATTGTGCAGTGGAAGTTCATTGATTCCTAAAGGTACTCATCTTTCCACATTTATCCATGTTGGTTTACTTTGGCAAACTGAAGTGGGACAGAAATAAACCTGTAGTAGGATAGAGCAGATGATACAGCTTTGCAATTATTCTCTAATGTCTTTGTCCCTTAGCTAAGAATGAAACTCAAGTATGGCCTGCTGAATCCAAAACACCAGAAGTTCAAGAAATCTCTCCACAGTCCCTCCCAGGTAATGAAAATTCTATTTTTAGAAACTCTGTGGAATATCTTTGTCAAATATATAAACTAAAATAAAATCCTTCTTTGTGTTGCTTAATCTGCAGTTAAAGGCAGTGGTTGGAAAACAGGAAGATAACGTAGCTGAATTAGTAGTCATGAATGGTATATGTGGATAAAAATCTGAATTTAATTTTGGAGGAAAGTTTCAGATGCTACAATTGTTAGGTTTATAAAAACACCTAGAATCAGAACCATATCTTTGTGGGGTTCTGGATACCTTGAAATTGTGAAAAATGGCAAAACAAAGGTTTTCTCGTGATGCACCTTGAACTTCTGAATTTCATTAAATATATGAAGAAGAAAATTAGGGATAAGAGCATGACTGTGCAAAATACATGCATGAGATTAAGACGGAACAGTCACAGTAACAAGCTCTATTTCTGAGGTGCAGAGGATGACAGCATGATGTTCCATTTAAGTTCAGTTTTGAACACATTAATCTTGACCACACTCCCTCTGTGGACTTACTGGTCCTATTAAAGTAAATGGGAGCTGTTCATATATGTGGGAAAGGAATATAAAATTTGATCCTAGACTCATATTCAAGGTTATGTGTCTGTGAAACATATCCTAACTTATATATTTGGAAGACTGAAGTTTTTTATCATCTACTTGTGGCTGAAAAAATATTGCTTATTTAAAAGAGCATACTCAGATGCTAATTTCTTAAACTGTTCAAAAACATGAAGTGAAATTTTAAAACTCGCAAGATTTACTGCCTTGATTTACTTACAAAACAAGTTAGTGTAACATAAATAGACTACTTTATCAAGTGGTATGACAAGTATAACCCTATATTTTAACATTTGCAATCTGAAGGCAAGAAGATTGGAGAGAACTAAATTGTTCAGAGTCAAATGATGAGAGTGACTTTCCACCCACTTTATCCACCCACATTTTGGAATTGTTTAAGCAGACCTAGGCCTCTCTTCATCTTCTGTAGTCTGGCTTTTATCCTATAACTGAGACTGAAGTCTTGATTCTGCTGTCACTAGAGACAATAGTTGGCTTCTGCCAACTTCTTTGCTGAAAGGGGAGAAAGGAGGCTTGAACAGTGGCAAGACTTTAAAATGAAAAAAGAATGTGAGGAAATAATACAGCAAAGGTTTGCTTTGGTTTAGTTTAGTCATACATGTGATCTTGCTGACATTACTCTATTCCATCTATAAAGTATTTCCTGGCTGGCTGAAATAGCATAGCACATTATTCCTTTGACATCACACGATTCACACAGATACTGCCCTTAAATATGACTGCATTTATTTTATTCCTTAATGCCATACTTTATGTCACCAGAACAACTCAGTCTTTAAAACCAACAAACAAACAAAAAAACCCCTCCCAAAGAATATGTGGGGAATAAAAGAGATGTAGAATGAAGTAATGCAGCAAAATCATGTAATGATTGACAACCATCTTTTAGATTAAACAATCCATCTTTTTTTTTCTCTGAAATATTTGCAGAATTTTATTTTCCACTCAATAGATAAGTGTATTTGCCAAATTCTAGTTTTAACCATCAATTCCTTTCTGCAAAACCTTCATATGGATAGCTCTTTTGTGTTCATCCTAAATATTAAGAGGAAAACAAAGGTGCTCCTCCACGGGAATTTATTATCAAAGGAGGCTCTGAACTTTACAAGTTTAGCATATGTGTAATAAACAGCTTGCTTTTAATTGGAAATGTGTGGTTACTTTTTAAAAAACTGTAAAGAATATTTTTTTCTCAACTTTTTTTTTGTGTGTGTGTTACAGTTTGAGGTCTCTTGTGGACTTAAATTCTGCAGTTATTTTACTAAATTATTTACCTTGTCTAAGTAACTGCAGAACAGGCAATCTACAAATACATTTTACAGAACTTTGCCATTTTGTGAAAGTGAGAACTGAATGCATAAGTTTATGTAATCATCTGTCCTGCAAAATCCTAGTGCTCAGGCTTGCATTCATCTAATCAAAATACATCATTCCTTGTGCTGGAATTTACTGGTTAATCAGGTAAACAATATGAAATCTGACACAAGAATTGATACATCACCTTGGGAGGACAGAATCAGTCCATTCTGTTTCCTTTCCTCTGTGTTCTGTAATTATGTTTATGTACTTGGCATGCAGTAATTCTAACCATAAACATTGTCATCTCTAGACATAGCACAGTGTTTTGTAACATATGATAATAATTGGCAAGTACTGTCTTTTTAGTGACAAATTGTATATAACCATTTGTTACAACTAAACATGTTCTTATTGCTATCACACCGTTTACTGAAATATTTAGAATCATTTTCATCTTCCACTTCATGCTTCCTCTGTGGTTTTCCTTCCATGTCTCTTCTCCTGTGGTGACCATTCTTTGCTGGCCACAGCACCAGTGTCTCATGTTAAAGTATGAGTATGTCACACTATTTACATTAAAGAATGTATTCATTGTGGTTAAAGAGAAAAAAAAAGAGGGTGGCTGGCAACAGGGAAAGGAAAGTGAATTCTTTAAAAGAAAGAAGTTCTTTGAGTGTAATTTCTGTCCAGCCATTGCATATGCAAAAATAACTTGAATACTTAGGCATTTGAGCCAGACTTTCACAAGTAACTTAAGCTAGAGATCTGGGCACCGGCCTTTTGCAAGGGTTGCATTTGAGAGACAGGGTAATATATATAGGCACAACTAATTGAGTTTAGCAATAGATTCTACTTCATTATATTTCATCCAGACTTCCCTATTTGAAGATCATACTGGATTCTTTGAGTAAGGCATAGTAATTATTTGCTGTGAAAGGTTTAAGGACTGGTGCCAGAAGTGGCAACAGAACACTGATTTAAAAGGAGCTGTGTGCTGTAGCCGTTATGTCATCAGTCATGCAAGAAGGGAAGAAAGGAGCTTGAAGTATTTCAGCAAGTGGATTATCTGAAAGGCTCTATGAGCTGGGCTGCTCAGTATTCCACTGGGTCTTTGTCAAGGGTGTGTTTTGTGATGTGATTCGATTCAGTAACTTTTTTTGGTGTATTTGTCAGCCAGGCATCCCATCATTTTCTTAATTTCAGGCCTCACCTGCCTTGGCATACACTTCCATGAAAAGACTGGTTAGTAAGCTCTTTCATGCTTTGTTTTTGCCAGGCTTGTTACCATATTTTCCACTTAGGACTAATTTATTCTTAACACAACAGCACAAATTCATAATGCTTCCCCCCCACCCCACCCCCCCGCCCCTTCAATCTTTAAAATGCTGTCTAATATACCTCAAACTACCACTATATTTTTTCTCTCAGTTGAATCAAGTGTGAGCCTTTTTATTAACGTCACAGGGAAATTGGAGCTAACCAATAGTTAGAAATATCAGCACATTTGTCTAGGACATGGAAGAACTAATATAAAAAAGAAAAAAAAAAAGAGCATTTCTTTATGTAAGGGATTGTACCAGAAATTTATCAAAGTAGGTTTCTGAAATAGAGAATAGGCTTGAAATGAAAAGTATCACCTGTGAATCCAAACTAGGGTTAATGTTTAGTAGGAATAACTCCTTTGTTGCCATGTTTCCCAAATTCTGCTCCTCCTGTCTTCCTTCTAGCCCCTGAAGGCTTCCCCTTGTGTTCACGCGGGATACGAGAAGGAGTGAGATTATTGCTTCCATCAAAATATCTTAATTCCAGTTATGGAGGAAGACAGGAACATGAATGAGAGGGTCAAGAGAAGTTAGAGGAAAAATAGTTTAAGAAATGTTGCCTAAATGCGTTCTTGCTATATTCCATGCTGTGATAGTAAAGTAACTTACCTTGCTTGGTCATATTAACCATTTACTTTGCAGCTACCACTGAACCAGCACATTAAGACCAGTTTACCCGGTGCCCTGGAAAAGTCAGAGGCATTTCTCTCTTTTTCTCTGATTTAGCTTTTAAAGCCTAAACTTTCTGCTTCCTGTATCTTTTTTTTAAAAAGATGTCTGCTGCTGTTTCACGCCATCCCTACGATGTTCTGTGCAAAACAGAGGAGAGCCTGTTTTCTTTTGCCCCAATTCTAGGCACGCTTTTTCTTGTTCAGCTTGCTCAGCTAACTCAGCTGACAAGAGACATGCTTCATATAAGTACAAACCATCTGACCTCTAAAAAAAAAAAAACAAGCATAATGAGTTCTAAATTTCTGTATTTGCTTTTGCGGAGTTTGTGGTGGTTTGTTTTTTGTTGTTTTTTTTTTTTTCATTATTACATTTCACCAATAAGAAATGCTAGCTTTTGAAGTACTTCTGAGGTACTTCTGAGGTATGGGTTTGTTAGTTGTTGTTTCGGGGTCTCTTATGGGTGAATTTTCTCCCACAAGCTTCATAGAGATAAATTGCTTTAACTTCTCTGTAGAGCAAAATCCTCTTTCCACTGGTGACAGTTAACAGCACAGTAACTGACTTAGTAAAAGCTGAATTGAGTCTGTGGAGATTCCAGCTTTTGTGGCACTGAAAAGCACCATACTCCAAAACAGAAAATAGTATAATGGTTGTAACTGTAGTAGCATCTATGTAACTATTTAGAATCTAGAAAACAGCATGTTTTCTTTGGGAAATGAAATAAGCAGCTTAGAAACCTACATAATCAGTTCTTGTTTGAAACATGCTCAGTAGATTGTGGTAAAAGCGTGGAGAGCATGCTGGAAAAAAAAAAAAGTAATTCCATTCTATTGTTTCTCAAAAAGAAAGTGATCTTTTATTAAACTGAATGAGTACTAAAGCTTTGTGCTATATTGATGCTGATCACCAATATTAAAGATCTCTAAATACCAACATATGCTAAATACTGTGCAATTTGCGCTGTGGAAGGAATTAATGCTCTTACCACATTCAAGGCTGAGACCTTACCATCCTGTGTTCCATATCAATAAGGTTTGTCATTTTGTAATCTGAGATTACCAGTTGTGCGTACTGTATGACTGATTAAATGCTATAGGACCTCCAGCAAGGTGGAGAGCAAAGAAGTGATCTTGACTTACATACCATAGGAATTAAATGTTATGTGAAACAGCTGGAAGAGTATAATATGCACTAGTTTATTAAAATACGATCAGCAATTCAGTTTAGGTACATTTAATGGCTGTTTAATAAACTGCCTATGCTTTACTCTGAACATGTAGAATTAGAAGAATGAATGAAAGTCAAAAGCCTATTATATTATTCCTAGAAAAATGAAAGAGCTAAGGTATTGTAGGTGAATCTTTATTCTTTTCCTGATAATTTTTGTACTAGAAGGATTAAAAAAAATCCAAAATACCAGGGAAAATATTTGTAAATACACTTTGTGATGTAATGGATCTTGTTTATAATGTGTATCATAATGAATATGGGAGGCTGTAACAGAATTACAGTGTGAGCTTCTGATCTTAGCTTTGCTCTTTGTGTCTTATATTTTCCTTTGCTTATGTAAAACTGCAACAAAATAAATCCAGAACATCATATAGACTTCACATCTAAAACAAAAAAAAAATATTAATCATGATGGGGTTGAGCTGCTGCAGAAATTATTCTAATCAGGTGGCAAAAATGGTAAAAAAGGCAATGAGCTTTGGGCAGTAGATAAAGAAAAGCTCAGAGGGATTCTAAATTAAATAAAGCTTCTTTCTTCTAGCCCAGGCTGAGAAAAAACATGGACCTGAGGAATTAAAATCAACACCTAAACCCGAATTGGTGCAAACTCAAAGCATACTGGGTAACTAATTTTGCTGCTTTTTACCTTCTTTGTACATTAAATGCTTTTTTCATCTCCAGCAGAATTTTGCTACTACTTGCTGCATCCCCTTTGTATTGACTCCAAATGAAGTCCTAATTAAAAATTTCTGATTCCCTTTGTGTTTCCAGCAACTCACACATGAAATGTAAAGCAGGATGCATCTACCGCTGGCTGAACTGTGGCTGTTATACATATGATTATTGCTAGTAGATTTGACTGGGTGATTCAATTTTATTTTTCAAAATAAGGCTTTCTGTCTATGTGATCTGCATGATTGACATCACATAAAATTTCCATCAGTAAAATTAATCTCAGTGATAGAATGGAAATAATTACCTCCTTGATTTTCTTCTGATGACAGGGTCATTTAGGTAGCATCAACATGATGCAAAAGGAAAATTTTATATTGCATGTGAATGATATAATTGTATTTGTCCTGGAGGAAAAAAGAACTCTACTGATTTTTTCATAGAAATGTCTTAGAATGAGAGATTTCTGATTTAAGTAGTAGTATTGTTAGTTTTGTGATTTGGAGCAGCATCTACTTACTTCTTGCATTCAGAATTCCAAATTGTCCAATGTTGATTTTGTTGCCTGTATTTTAATCCCCAAACCATGCAAAATTATGAACACAAATTTAAACTTGAAGTTGTTTTTCATTTTTGTTTTTTTTAAATTTAGATTAGATTTTTCTAAAGCACGGATGGCATACATACAGGATGATGTATGATAAAGGAAAAGATCATCAGCATTTGCAGGACTGAAATACAGATCTTCCCATGAAGAGGACTCCTAATGCTTCTCAACAAACATATTTTTACATAATCCTGTTGATTCATGTTAATGTCGTACTCTCTCTTTTACCTTTTTTCATTTACAGTTGCAAGCAGATTTCCAGAATTTACCAAAGCTAAACCATCAGTCAATCTAATTTTCATTCTAAATTTAATCAGGTTTTTTTTAGGCATAATCAACCTTGCTTGTTTTTTGCCATGCTTTTAAAGATTAAAAGATGAAATCTAATCAAGATGAAATTTAACTGCTTAATTTCAAACTAGGTCATAGTTACTGATGGACGTTCGTTATCAAATTCCTGTAATTGGTAGGTCTTTATATTATGATTAGGGAAAAGGTGATTTCATTCATATTCCACACAGCTTTTTAAGTGAAAAAGTTATGTGTTTTTTTTCTAGGTTGTAACTACTTTTTTTCTTTCTTATTAAATATCATTGGTTTCAGGAGTGACTGGTTTATAAGCCAAAATATAGTTCCATACTGTGTCGTGTAATATTCTTAATCAAGTAAAGCCTTGATTATTTCTTTTATCATAGTTTCTAATGAAATACAGCCACTTCCTTCTGGATCCAGAATCTCTGATGCTCCAAAAAGTCCATTGACAGAACTTGGTAATTACTTTCTTTGTAAATTCAAATAAATTTCAGTGGAAAATTATCTAATTCTTTTGTGGTTTCTGTGGCTGGTAGATTTTAATGCTTCAGCTGCAATAATATCATTCTGTAAGTAAAATATGGTAGCCATTATAATTTTCTTCACAAAATTTGCAAATTTCTTTTTTCATTCTAAGTCTGGTTTTGCTTTATTGTTGTGACAGGATGCTCCAGATAAATGCTTCATTTTGAAAAACAAACAAACAAAGAAAAACTCGTGAGGATATATGGGCTAACTTTTTTCTTTAGAATGATGATGGCAATTCATACTTAGCTAAGATCTGTACTCTTAGTTTTGTAATTTTCTTGGAAGTACCCCATGAGCTTCTGAGACTGACTGTATTTCAGAGTTGAGGTACTGTTCCAGTCAACATCAGTTCTGTGGGTTTTCATGTAGTTTGCCAAATACTTGTATATTTGGTTAAAATAGTGCCATAATTTGTAGAGGTTGTTGTGGTTTAAATATTTGTAAGTGTTTGCTTACTTCTGGATTCATTACTTGTTCGGTGATGAACTTCAGGACACTTTGGAAAGGCCTGATATTTGAGAAAGTATGGCACTGCTCGCATTTTCAAAATAGTTTTACCTGTGTTAGGGTCATAATGTTATGGTCAAGATCTTCGTATGGGCAAAGAGGAAACACACCTTTTCTTTCTTTTTTTTAAAGAAATATTTCATATTCATGAATATGAAATATATATATTTCATATATATACACACACATTTATATGTATGTATATATGTATAGACATATGTATTTACATATAGGTATATGCATATACATGTATATGTGTATAAAGCCAAGAATTTATTGTTAGTGTAATGGAGATCTTAACAGTCTATCTAATTCAAGAATCATCATTAGTCTAGATGTAACTCTTACAATAAAACAAAGAATATTAATGCAGGTAGATTGCTTACATACAGAAAAAGCCGCAATAATAGCAGTAACATAATTAAAATAGTAATGCACAAACTTCTTAGTTTCTACCCTTTTTCCTGGTGTTTTGCACACCCTTTCACTACACCTCTGGGTCCTAAGCTTGGTGATTTCATGCTTGTGTTGGTCATGAGTGGGGATGTTTCAGTAAGTTATGAGCATCTGGAGTCCTGTGCTGGGAAGAATGTGCTGTTCATGTTGATGATTTCTTCCTCCTCTCTTCTTTCTTTCTTTCTTCCGCTGTGAGACACCTTACATCTGAATTTACCATATATGGTGCCATTTGTGTATGTTAGATACTATTTCTGTGTTCTTGTTGTTACCCCTAAAGAAAATTTTGTCCAGCTCCAGCTGTGCAGTTTTTAAAATTGACCATCACTGAACTGTTGATGGCATGGGGTCTCCAGTGCCAAGCCTGGTCCCTATCTCTTATCATCCCATGCCTGCACTCCTCTAAGCCATATCCTGTGTCTCCCCTTCTCAAAACCTCTGCTTTTATAACAGGCCTATATTTCTCTACACTGTGTCATTGTGCTAGTCAAAAATATCCCTTTCTACCGAAACAGCTGCTTGTTGCTGCTATCTATATAAACAGCTATTACACTACTTAACTGGAGTGACCTTGAATCAATATGGATTTATATTTCATTAAGCATTAGTCAAGAAGTTATCATATAATAGTGCTTGTTTATTTAGACAGCACACTTTTACTTAATGCAGTCTGCCAAATTTTAAAAGCATTTCCGGGATCAGCTCTTACTTCTTGAAATGCGTATTTGAACCAAATTCTCAAGAACAGGAAAATGGTCTTTACAATTTGTTCTTAATTTGCTACCACTTTTGACAGCTCTTTCCCAGATATGTTTAAGGGGATGGGGATACATACTTGTTTTCACTGTAGTGAAAGAAGTTTGGTTAAATCCAGTTAGAGGCAGTATTGGAGAGAGAGAGAGAGAGATTCGGTGATTTAAGGACCTATTTGCTATAAATGTAGCTGAAAACCTGAAAATTATTAGGAACGTGAAGTATTTTTGCTTTCTGCTGGGGAATAATAACCTAATCCTATGTTTGTCTCAGTGCTAAAGGTAAAATAATAACAACAGTTGAGGCAAAATATATGTTTCATTCAAGCATTTATTCTGGTTTTGTTCTCATGTCTTTCATTCCTGCCAAATATTTCCACTTAGCAAAAGTGGGATTTAATTATGTGAGGCTGGGCCCAGCCATTGGATTAGCTGGAGCATCTGTGCTCCCCATGAAGTCAATGCTGAAGTCAAAGATATTCTGTGAGAGCGAGGAGGGGGTCATACAGAGGAGGTTTCTCTCCACCATGCCTCTGTGGCCTTGATCACCTGCTGTCATAAAATCGGCAGAGAAAGCAAATTTAATTTCTGAAGTTTAAGAATGTGTGACCTGTATTCTGCGCTGGTTCCCCTAAAGACTTTTTTTTCTTTATTTTTCTATCTCGATTGCACCAGAGGGAGACATCTACTTTGTTTTATAAACTTTCTGTGTGGTCAATATATTTTGAATTCAAACCTTTCTGAAAACATAGCTTTGTTAACATGCCTTCGATGTTCTGATGCCTTTGGGAGATCTCTTGTAGTTCTTTCTGTATGTAAATGGAACAACAGAAGCTTTTGCCAAAAGCTGTGAATCACACTGCTTTTGTTGGTATTATTTTCTTCTCTATAAATATAGAATAGAATAAATCCAATTGGAAGGGACCTGCAACGATCATCTGGTCCAACTGCTGGGTCCAACTATATCAGGATAGTAACCTGGGATCAGATTTGTTAATGTGATAAGCTGGATTGAAAGTAAATGGGAAAGCAGATCCAATATATGAAATAAAAGTCTGTTCACTTTTTGGCTTATATTCATATTGCCTACATTAAAAATGAATCCTACACCATGTTGTTTGAATGTTTTTCTCAATCTCAAGCATTCAGAGAAGTTTAATTTTGAAAATCTGGTATAACTGCTTTTCAAAAAACCTCATCTTGATAAAGACCGATTAAAAATACAGACGGAAATTTTCTCTTTCAAATGTATTATAACCTAAACGGGCATAAGTGACTAGTGCAGATAAGTTTACTGGAAAGAATGGTACTTACTGGCCTGTACACACAGTTGAATAGGATCTGTTTCTTAGAAGCAGGACGTAGTGCAAAACCTACACATGGTGGAAACTCGTTCATGATGGCCTTTAGGTAAGAATGCCTATTTCCACCTTGGTTCCCTGTTTTCATTAAAGCAGATTTCAGGTTATCCATACTTCAAAGTGAAATAACCATAAGATCTTTGTAATAGTCTTCATTACAGCATAACAGATAAAAGATGTTGTTTACTAACTTTCATGATTATTTCACTGACTTCATTGTACTACTCTTTTTTTATCTTTTCCCACTACACCTCCTTTTAAAATAGTTATACATAATATAATAGTAACCAGTTTATACAGACCTGCAAGTACTGTGAAGATCCAATATATTGTGTTTGGGTTGTAGCTGCTTCACTGTGAAGAAAAACCTTATAAGTAATATGGATTCAGCCTGATTAGATAATGTATGCCAAAGTTAGAATGGGGT